CGATATACTAACAAAAAAATCAGATTAAATAGATTGCTCAGAGTGCGCAAGATACTTAAGAGACAATCGAACTAAAGATAGTCCTCACAATGCGCAAGTATGCGCGATACTAATAAAAGAATCGAACTAAAGAGAATTCTCAAAATGCCCGCGATACTCACGACACTATAGAACGAAAGGAGATCCTCAGAGTGCGCGAAATACTAGCGAAAAACAATCGAATCGAAGAGAATCCCGAAAGTGCTCGAGATACTAAAGAAACAATCGCACTGAAGAAAATCCTTAGAGTGCGCAAGATAGGAACAAAGCAAACGAAGTAAGATAATCCTCGGAGTATCGGGGAGCACGAAATACTAACGAGATAATCGAACTTAATTCGCCTCAAAATGCGCAAGATTCTAACCAAACAATCGTTTTAGAGAAAATCCTCAGAGTGTGCGCAATAATAATGAAACAATGGAACAGAAAGGAATCCTCAAAGTGCGCGAGATACTAACGATAAACAATCGATCTTAGGAGAATTCTAAAAGTGAGCGATAAAATAACGAAAGAAAGAGAATCATCAGAGTGCATGAGATACTAACGTGACAATCTCACCAAGAGAAAACTAAGAGTGGGTGAGATTATAACGAGACAGTCGGAATAGAGAAAATCCAAGAAGTGCGTGCAATAATAATGAAACGATTGAATGAAAAAGATTACTAAGAGTGCACTAGATATACTAACAAAACAATCGGACTGTAGAGAACCCTCTGAGTGCGTGAGGAACTAACGAAAAAACAATCGGACCAACTATAATCTTCAGAGTGCCCGAGATACTAACGAAACAATCGAACTAAAGAGGATCCTCAATCCACAACTGTTTAGTTCGAAATTATCGAACTAAAGAAGTATCTCAGAGTGCAATGCTGAAGACAGTCCGTAAAGTGCGCGAGATAATGACGCATTATTTGAAAAAAGAATTTAATCAGAGTTCGCGAGATACTGACGATTAATCGATTTAAAGAGCATTCTAAGAGTTTGCGAGATGAAAATGAAAATAATGGGCACGAGAACATCCTTAACTGTAATCCAATTAAATTATTGTTACCTTTTATGACTAATGTGGGAGTCTCATTGTAATTTTTTGCCATTTATGTTGAGTCTATACAGTACATGTACTGAGTTTCTAAAAAACTCCCAAAAGGGAAAATGTTACAGCACATCGAGTCTGAAATTTTCTTGACATTGTAAACATCATTAATACAAAGAACTGATAATTATATTACAAAAATAATGTATAGCAACCAATATTCTTATTTTTAGCTTTTTTTTATTTAGGAACAAAGTACAGATTAAAATTATTAGAAGTGTGACTGGATTTGACCTTTTACATTAATGTAAACATAAGCTTTTGTTGTGACTTTTACATTAAATGCTTCAGCCTTCTGAATTTGTACAGGAACCTGATTGTTTCTTGGCCCCCCGATTTCAAGGCTGGGAACGCTTTAGTTTGGCCAGTGGCAGAAGAGAGGTTGTGCATCATCAATTAGAGAACTATTTTCTCATTTCTTGAGTAAATTGGAATATTTTTTGTCAATTCTTCTCTATTCTAACCCATCCCTGTTCTTTCATGGTTTACTAAAACGTCTCCTCTAGCAGGGAGAAGAACTTCTGGGAACCTACTCACTTCTGGAAGGCATCAATATCAAAATCAATATACACCTTATTAGAATTTTTGGTGCGTAGTATCACTGAGTATTTTTACTCGTTGTTTGTATACGGGCTCATCAAAATACGGCACAACTCGTCAAAATACTCAGCGATACTACACACCAAAACGTCTAATAAGTTATTTTTTGTCCGACTACTTTTTTCTGCTAAGTCTTTCTGCTCATTTCTCATAAGGCGGGAAAGGCAAAGCGGATAGAGAAGCGTAGCGCGCACAGGCGACTGGTTAGACAGGTTCTTTTACAGTAAAAAATAACTAACTGTCCAAATAACCGTACAATATCGCAGGATATTTGTACTCTATTCAAGCGTTACTTGTACTCTACTTTGTGCAGTTGGATAATAAGTTCACATCTCTTGATTGCGCATATAGGGCCGTAATGCGACAGAAAATGAGACAATTCCGCTTGACGAAATTAGCAACAAACGAATATCTGAAGCAGTTTGAAAATAACCATATGTTGGTTAAATATGGTGAAGATTGATTCTTTCATTCACAAGATTGATATTGCCACTTTTTAGTTCTGCGCCAACACTCATTAGAAAAGAGTGAGAGATAATTTTATCTTAAAACAACTCCAGAGTTTTTAAATTTGTCGCAATATAAAATCTATAGCAATCTAATGCGGAACTCACAAAGGGCGGTGGAAGAAGCCGAAATAAGCGCTTCAGTACGAGAACTTGTCCGCCCACGAGGTGCTTCTTTAAAGGGGCACAATAAAGTTACGACATCTAGTGTTTCTTGAGTGGAAGTCAAAGTTTGCTCTTAGAGCCGGTTGTATTTATGTATTTGGGTGAGATTCCACTATTTTTTTGTCTTTTTGTGATAAGCAACGCAAGCCGCCAAGTGGTCTGCAATACAGTGTTAGATCATACCAACACAGTCACGGATAATCAGTAAATTCAATAGGCACTACGCGGTATAAATAGAAGCGGTGGCTAACTAAAAGGAATTTAATGAACCTTCGAAGTCGTGATTAAAAAGAAACAAGAGTATGGTTGTTTTGTTCCGTTTAGATGTTTTAAAGGTGAAATTCCCGGAAATTATGTGAACCAGGCCCACGATGGACATTGACCAAATTGACGTCACTAGCTGCCAAAAAGGCTGTGAGTGGTCTGGCAATATAGTGCCAAATCTTACCGGTCCAGTCGTGGGTGATTCAGTAAGACAATACACGCTGTAAATAAGGGCCGCGGTTTGCTAAAAGAAATTCGATGAAATTTCGAGGTCGGTTATGAAAAGAAACACTGATCAATATGGATTAAGTTCCGTTGAGAAGTTAAAAATAATTAATTCCCCAAACTATGCACTCAAGGCTCAAAGCAACACACTAACCTTTTTTTTGGTTTTGCGGAAAACCCAAATATCTGTTGATCTGGTATTTAAGGAAACTTGAAATTGAACCACAGTTGTAACAACAAAAAATTTCAAAGAGATTTCTAAATGCAACGTTACATATCAGTACATAGTTTCCTACCGTTTTAGGGTAGGTTAGATTTATTTCGATTCAAAATGCTATCTATAGGCTTGATACTGGAACGCAGTGCCATTTGTTACTTAATTTACATCCCCTTTTACTCCATGCTCCCTTCCGTGCTTTTTCGAGACATCAGAATTATAAACTCGCGGCATACGTACCTAATATAAGAGAGGAGACTTTGTTTTTCGTATTTCATATAATGCTGAGTTATGGTGGCCGTCGTAACTTTCAGAGGGAAAAATTCAGAACACTGCGGAATATTATGGGTTTAGTGCACTCCATAATAGACTGTGCTGGAGGAGAGAATCTGGAGAGTGAATAGTGACTGTTAGAGGGAAATAATTTTCTCAGAATTGACATAAAAGAGTAAAAAAAAACAGGGATTCAAACTCTTTGAATTAGCTTCAGGATTCCCCAGACCGCCCTTGAAATATTGTTCGCGTCCTCAGTATCCCTGAACGTCTTTAAAGAAATAATTTTAGGCCGTATTCGTAATTCCTCCTGGCCAAAGACAATTTCTGGATTTTTGTTGGATCGTAGAAGCTGTCAACGGCTCATGTTCAGAGCAAGTTGAAATATGTCTGTTTCATGGCCTGATAAGGGAGATAAAAGTCCAACATCCGTTTTAAAGGAACTCAAGGAGGCCCAGAACGCTGTTTAACCTACGGATTGATGGATAAATGGCTTGATGGGTTTTAAATGGCCAGTCTGATTATGGCATTCAATAAATTTCCAGTCACGGGGCTGTACAGGTTAATATCGTCAAGATATAATTGAGTTGCCACAATTACACCACAGCTTACAGAAACACCCTGAATTCTGGTCTAACGAGTCAGAAACTCAAAAATAAGCTCGTTCACCCTTTTTTATCACATATGGTCCAGCAAGCGGTATTTTGGTTAGTGAATGACAGCAAGAAGCTTTGTTCTGCTTTGACCGTGTCAGTGACATATTATTGCCAATGATAAAGTAAAAAATTAAGCCACATTTTCTGTAAGTAGGTATACAATGCGAGCACAATGAGTAATGAGCAGTATTCAGTAAACCTGAAAAATACAGAACCTTGTGATCATGTTTCTCATGTCCAAATTAGGCGAAACTATTTATTTTCCAGTCGGTTTGGTTTTTAATTACTGTTTATAGGAGAGCTATATTGCATTATCAGGTAAAGTGGATCGATACGTGATTCTTACGTGCTGGTTGGCTGTAATATGAATAACCTCTTTCTAAAATGATTTTACTTCTAACTGCTACTCAAGAGTGAGCTATATTGCGTGATAAGAAAAACAAAGGTCGATACTTCACCGAATTAACGTGATTTCCACTCGTTGGCTGGCTTTCAACTCGACGGTTAGTTCGGCTTGATATCATAATTATGAACCAGACATATGACTTCCTGCTCATTGCTTTTGTTTGCCATCATCTGCGTCTTAAAAAGTAAAACATCCTTGATGTTTTTTGCGTTCAATATCAGCATTGAAGTGTTAGACGTGCAGTGACGTTTGCTTTGTGTTATATTGACCAGTTGTCAATATCCACGATATGGTACTGATTACCCAAAAATTCTCTTTTTGATTGGTTGTTCAGTCTTATTTGTTTGGCATGGATGTCAGAGGGATTTATCATACCAGGTCATCAGGGAGGTCCATATATAAATTCTTAGTCAACCGGTGAGATCCTATCGGATTTAGATTTTTTTGAACGTGTCTCGCACGAGTTAGCCGGGGTCTAAGCTTGTTTAGAGACAAACACCTTCGCAGAGCGCTAATAGTAGTTGGTGTAGCCAGCAAAGCCATGAACAAATCGACCATGACCATGAGATTACTCTTCCTCTTGATGATAGAATGTTTCTTGCACCAAGTAAAGGGCCGACAGTGTAGCACGACTGGCACCAAGGGAATAGCTCCCTGCCAGTGCAACTTTATGGATGCCTGTGATGCACAAGGAAACTCGAAACCCAACTTAGCACAATACTTGCCAAAAGGTGTGGATCGGTTCGGGTTTTTCGAGCAAGGACGACGAAACCTGGCGTATTTGTGTGAAGGTGGTAATGCGGTGGGCATTCTGTACGACTGCAATAATCGAATTCCTCTCTATGCAGCCACCGTGATAAATGGGGCCCAGTTATCAGGAAAGAGCCTCGGGGGTCGACCAAGCATTAAATTTTCTCAAAGCACCCTACTCCAAACGAAATTTCAACAAAAAAATGCAGATTATGTACGCGCTACAAAGCGGGAACTTTGCTATAAACGAAAAGGAAAACAACGACAGCAAGACAAGTACGTCATTGACGAGAACTGGTTAAAAGCAAGTGGATTTAGAAAACGTCTCAGGAATGATGACTGTCCTAAACCACCGCTGTTCAAAACAGCAGTTCACCGCGGGCACTTGATTGCCTCACAATACGGCCGCAACAATCAAGCGAAGAAAAGAGCAACTTTCACATACACTAATGCTGTCCCTCAGTTTGGACTGTTCAATTCGCAGCCTTGGCAAGTCTGTGAGAGCCAACTCATTACATGGGGAAATCAAAACTGTGCTCAGGTCAGAGGAGCAACGAATGTTCAGTTATTTATCGTAGTTGGTGCTATCCCATCGACAGTACGTCAATCGAAGGATTGGCGATATTTTGGCAAAGGGGGATTCAGCGACTTCGAAGACACCAAAGGCGATTACCGGGTGAACGTGCCTAGAGATTTGTGGACTGCTGCCTGCTGTACTTACAAACATCAAGGATCGTTGAAATATCGCAGCACGGCCTTCTGGAGAGAAAACAATCCGGGAAACGCGCCATGTAAAAGAACAGACGTGGGCGGCTTGACGAGAGAGTTGTCCAAACGGATTTCCCGTGGGACTGTGAGTTTCAATCTATTTCCGACTACATCCGAGTGCAACTGGAAGGCAAATTATATCCGTCTGCCGTGACACAGAAACCTGTCTCAGCCACCATAGATAATGAAAGGTCGTCGAGGGCGTAGAGTTTATAATTTCAACAAGGAACTGTAAATCTTTTTTTTTTTTTTAATCGATGTTAAGTTCATTAAGACTTAAAAAACTCCGAGGCTTGTAATCATGGGCTCACTCGTGTTCACATGGAAGCTTCCCTTTACAAACTAGCTTTTTGAACTAAGTATTGAGTAAGAACACCATTTTGGCGGTTCTATTTTGATTGTTAACAACGGCTTTCTTAGATTGCATTAGTATCAATTCTCTCTGACCTAAATTTAAATTTAATAAACGAAACGATTAATAGATTTTTGATAAAATAAAGTACATCAGCAATATTTATTGCTACTTAAATACTGAAATACTGCTGTCAGCTTGTCCAACAGAAAAGTAGAGGCGCGGGCGAAACTGCCGAAAGTTCTTCCAGGTTTTTCAACTGAACTCTTGGCATATCCCTATAGTCCATTTTTATGATTGCTGTGGTGATTATGGAGATGCGCGCGCTGTGATTGGTCGAGGATTGCGTTAAATCTGTAATCGTCTCGCGCGGGGTGATTACAGCAGGGGCGCCAAATTTCAAAATGGCTGTCTAGCATTTTATCAATGTTAGGCAGGAAGTGACGACCGCGAAATAAGAAAATATAATTCTAAGAAAACAAAAAATGCTACTAACTTTGGCGTAACACTTTTTAAAAGAAACATTGAAGTTTCTGCTGATTGATTTAAACAAACCTGTTAAATTCCAGTGGAAACTGACTGCTTATCTTAGAGTGTGCAAGGTACTAACGAAAAAAAGAAGAAGTAGGAGAACCCTAAGAGTACGTGAGCTACTAACAAAACAATCGAATGAAAAAGAATCCTCAGAGAGCGCCTGCTTCTTACGAGATAATCGAAAGAGAATCCCATGAGTGCTTGAGATGTCAATAAAACAAAGGATGGAAGAGAATCTTCAGAGGTGCAAGATAACTAAGAAAAATTCCAATAACACAAACTAACGAAAGAGAACCCCAAAAATAAGCGGGATATTTGCGAAACAATAGAATGAAGGAAACTCCTCAATGTGTGCAAGATATCAACGAAAAAAGAAAACGAGCCAAAGAGAACCATAAGGGTGCACAAGATTCTAACGCAATGACCGAATGAGAACGACTCCCCAGAGAGCGCCAGATACAAAAGAATCACTCGAACCAAAAAGAATCCTAAGAGTGCGCGAGATACCAGCAAAACACTAAATAAAGTAAGCAAGAAACTAACAAAATAATCTAGTGGAAGAAAATCCTCAGGGTGCACGACATACTAACGAAAGAATCGGACTAATGAGAATCTTAATGAGAATGTGCGATATATTGACGAAACAATCCCACGAAGGAGAATCCTCAAAGTGAGTGAGATACTAACGAAACAATTAACTGACAGAGAATATTCGGAGTGCGCGAGATACTATCTAAATCATTGGACTAAGGAGAATTTTGAGAACGTAAGAGATACTAACTATTCAATAGATGAGAGATAGATCTTAGAATGTGTGAGATACTAACGAAACTAACGAATGAAATAGAATCCTTAGAGAGCGCCGCATACTCACGAAACGATCTAACTCTTAATAAAATCTTAAGAGTTCGTGAAATATTAACAGAACAATCGAATGCAAAAGAATCCGCAGTGAGCTTAAAATACTTAAGAAAAAATCAATAAAAGAGGATTCTTAGAGAGCGATCTTAAGAAAACTCAAAGAGTACGCGAGATACTAACAAAACAATTGAACGACAATCAACCCTCAGAGTGCGCATAATACTCACGAAAGAAACGAACCAAAGAGAACCTTATAAATGCGCGAGATATTAACGAAACGATCCAATGAAAGAGAATCATCAGAATGCGCAAGATGCTAACCAAACAAACGCACTTAAGATTATCCTAGGAGTGCCATTAATATTAACAAAAAAATCTAATAATGCACAATCCTCAGAGACCGCCAAATGGTCTTCAAACAATCGAACTAATGAGAATCCTTACAGTGCACTACTTCGATTCTAACGAAACAATCTAATGAAAGAGAGTCCTCAGAGTGCGCAAGATACAAACGAAACACTCGAGCTTAAAAGAGAACCCTCAAAGTGTCCCAGATACTAACGAAACTATCCAATGAATTCTCAGACTGCACAAGATACCAACGAACCAAACAAACAAATAAATAATCCAATGAAAGCAAATCCTAGGAGTGCACGAGCTACTAACGAAACAATCAAACTAAAGAGAATCCTCCGAGAGCGCGAGATACTAACGAAACAATATGATAAAAAGGAATTCTCAGAGTGCCGAGATACTAACGAAACAATGCAACGAAAAAGAATCCTCAGGGTGCATGAGGTACTAACGAAACAATCCAATGAAAAAGAGTTCTCAGAGTGCCGAGATTCTAACGAAACAATGCAATGAAAAAGAATCCTCAGAGTGCGCTTGATACTGACCAAACAATCCAATGAAAAAGAATCCTTAGAGTGCGCTACATACTGACCAAACAATCCAATGAAAAAGAATCCTTAGAGTGCGCGAGATACTAGCTAACGAAACAATCCAATGAAAAAGAATCCTCAGAGTGCCGAGATACTAACGAAACAATACAATTAAATAACTAAAGAAAATCCTTAAAGTATCCCAGATAAAGGAAAAATCAAACTTAAGGTAATCCTAACAGTGTGCAAGATACTGACGCAACAACGGAACTGAAGAGAATCCACAGAATGCGCAAGATACTTAAGAAATAATTGAAGTTACGCGAATCCAAATTGTGCGCGAGATACTAACGAAACAATCGAATGAAAGAGAATCTAAGAATGCACGAGATTCTCCTGAAACAATCGAACTAATCGAAATTAGAGTAAACGAGAAACTAATTAAACAATCGAAAGAAAGAAAATTCGCTTGGAGTGTGAGAATTACTTACGAAACAATCGGTTAAAAGAGAATCCTGAATGCGCGCAAGATACTAACGAAAGAATTGAATTTAAGAGAATTCTAAGAATGTGCGTCTGAATTTAAATCGGTCACTTAAATAGATAAAATGAATTAAAAGAGAATTCTCCCATATCTCATGCCATATGGATACCCTAGATTACTTACACACATTGCATTGTTACGACAAATTTTCACTTAAATCTGTTCAGGTATATTTCACCAATGTACCCACTTATAGTACTATCAATACAAATCCACCCAGGAAGGAGAGAAAATGAACCTTCTCCAAAAGGCAGGGGGTGATACCAATTTTTTTTTGGCTGTTTGTCTTGCATCTTTAAAATTAAGGGAATTTAATAGAAATTATCCTTTTTTTCTCAAACTTTTGCCCAGTTAATTGTATTTCCCTCAAATGTCAGCTGGAGTATCTCTGTCCAAAGTATAACCAGGCTGCAAAACATTTTAGACATTTGCAAATTATACATTATTTCACAGACTGTAGAAATTTTCCCCAGAAATGCAAGCTTATAAGCAATCCTGAACTCAACTCTATGTTAAAAAAAATTATATTTTGCACCAGATCAATAAGTATCTTTCTGTCCCTGAACAAAAACAAAGCCGGACCAAAACAAAGGAAATCCTATACCCGAAGCATAGTAACCATGGCAATTCTGACAATTTCCAGTATTCATACAACTTGGCTTGATTAAGAAAAAATTGAAGTCATTTCAATAACACATACAATGTACATTCTTTTCCATGTCTTCCTGGATTATTAAAATGAGCATATAATTTCAAAATCGCAAAACACTTGCCTAGTTCTCAAAAAACACCATTATAAGACTTTTCATAATGGAAAAAATGTGACCAGCCCCTTTTTTCATTACAATAAATTTGTAAACTGTGCAATATATGCAAAATGATTACAGTAATTAATAACCATGCAAGATATACAAGTTGCATAGTTTTCATGTACATAATTCTTAGCGGCCTGGATTGCACACAATATCTACAGGTTCATAAACGGTAAGGCATCTGTACATTCTTAACTGCAATCCAATGAAACTATTCTCACATTTTACAATGAATCTCTTCGAGATTTCAGCTCACACATGCACTTTATTAAACATGATTTTTAGATCTAACCTGAGGCTTTGGTGGTTCCCTTTTGGTGAGCTGTGTCAAGTTCTTTGTCTCTAACCAAATTTTCTGATTTCAAATCATTCCTTTAAAATGCTGATCAACATCTATCCAAAAAAGATTATTTCGGCATCTCAGAACTTGAAACTCTATTCTTGAATCTCAAAAACTAAAACTCAAATCGTGATTCTCAAACGTTTTGTGAACTGAGAATCAATTCTTCGATTTAAGAGAGTAAACTTGGTACTTTACTTCAAGACAATACATCCATTTATGTTAAATCAACTACTGACACGAAGAGAATTGTAGGCTATGGATGCTTTCCCATCAAGTGAGTTATAGTTTCACAAAAAAGTATATGTTACCAATACATCATTCTACGATGAATATTGCCACATCTACTAAAAGCTACTGTTAAAAGCTGAGTTTGTTTAAAATTTCCAAATTTTCTTCGCTCTACATACAAAATAACTGATAATAAACTCTTCTGCAGTATTTGTACCATTTTCCAAAATACATCCTAAATGCTGAAAACAGTGTTCTATAATCAGTCAATATGCCAAGTTTTAGAAAGATGCGTTCAAAACCATTATATTATAAAATGATGCTTTTTTCGCGGAACAACATATCTCCGTCAGCTATTTACGTATCAGCTGTCAAACTTAGTAACTTAACTGATTTCAGAAAACCCTCTAAAGTAGAGTAACTACGTAATCAGGGGCAAAGATTCAAAGATAAAACCGACAAAGATTCTGTCTAACCATTTACGCCTTTGAGCTTGAGAGAGAGAACAACTGGTTTATATTAATTTGCTCTCCTCGGCGAGAGAGTTATTTTTACGCAATAATTGCATCTCGGAATCCTTATCTATTTTCACAGCGGTGATCTGCTGTTTTGAATACCACAGACAGTTGCTCTTTGCTCTCACACCAACTTCCTCTAATGGGGTTACAAATCACAAAAGCTTGGCAAAAAGCATCCTCGGCACAAAACGAATGACGCACTGTAGCATTTGAAGTCTGCCTCTCACTAAGACGTGGCTAGGTTTCTTTAATTTTTAGGTTTTGCACAATAAAGTTGCTCTTTACTCTTTGCAGTGTGGGTAGAAACACTACCAGTCTGGTATCCGTGGCGAGCGCTTTCAAGCTCCTTTTGTGTTGAAAAGCTTGCACTCAATCTGAGACGTCAGAGGAGTGTGGCAATAAATCTTGGAGGCGTTGATCAACCTCCCTCACACAACCTTCAAGTTGACATCTGGGAGATGCTTAGAAAACGAATCAGTGAATAGTTTGTAAACGGCTGACAGAGAGTACTGTATTGAGACTGGATTGTCTTAGACAGCTGAGGAAGACCACGTCATCCCACTTCCGTCGTTGGATAGAGCTACCTCTACTGTAATGGTATTTGCTTCCACGGACTTTTGAAAGTTGGAGGCGGCAGATCTTTGTTCCGAGTCCATTGAACGCTCCTGAATAACTGGCTTGTGCTTCTACACTTATTTTCTTTGTTCTGAATTCTTCGTAATTTGTCTGGCTCACCTCGAGCTTTTTCAGGAAACGCGCCCCGAGTGTAACCTCTGACAAGTAATGAGTTCCATAGTACTTAAGGAACTTAATGAAATCATTGCTGTTTCTATCTGAGGTCGTTAGCCTCTTTACCCAGTTCACAAACCCTGGATGGAAGGGCGGCGGATCGTTGATGTCCATTTTGCTAAAGTAATAACGGCACTGAGCTTGGGAAATAAAGTACAAGAACTTTCCCGACGACATTTGTGCCACAAAATCTTTGTAACTTGTACTTGCACGAAATTTAACGTCCCATCCTCCTCCTCTGACGAACACAAAGATTTTGTCAATGCTGGTGGTCTATTGTCGCCGAAAGTCTATGGCCAATTCTTGTTAAGTTTTTTAAGTTACTTTTTCTACCGGTGTGATTGTATACATGGCATCCAAGAGGATGTGTCGGTCTCTGATTTTATTACTAGCTCTACGTTTACTCCACTAAACCGATTAGATCGTCAGTTTGATCCAACCATAGCGTCCATTTCAGCCGAGGGTAGTTTTCTGGGCATCCTGGATTTCAATGATAAAAAGAGGTTTGGCTTAACAGTTGTTCAGTGCTCCTGAAACCAATCAATCAATCGATCAATTTAAGGAGAAACAAACAGCCCTTGAACTTTGAAACGTGTTTTGACGGTTTTTCTGTCATATCCATAGTAAATGAACGCAAAATATAAAGTTAAATTTGTTTTGTCACATTGGGAGCTAATTGGTAATTAATCATAAATTGTCAAGCTTTTTTTTTTGTTATACTAAGTAGTTTTCTGATGTCATCATGAACTTTTTACTTTGCTTTAAAACAAACTGAGTGTGATAGAAGAACTGTACTGAGGGAAGCGGAAGTCAATGATCAAAGAAAATAACAATATCTAAAAAATATAGAAATGTGAAAGATGAATACACTAAAGAAACTCATGTTTTTCTCTATGTCCAATTATATTGATAGACATTTGACATCTTTCTTCATCCGACAGAACTTAGTTAAGGACGTTTCATAGGACACGTCGGGCACAACAAGCAACCCATTTAGGACTCTGTAGCGACAGTCGGTAGTCTGCTTTATAGAAGTATAGTGCGTCACGAATATTGGGTGAGTATAGCCAGGGTCGTGACCTGTTGCAAATGGATAGCCCCTCAACTTGAAATGTCGGCGTAATCAATATCCAAAAAGATCTTTGCCAGCGTGGACTTCCGCATTCTTGAAGTTGATTGTCTGACCGAGCTGACGGGTTTATAGCGGACAAAGAGTAGAATTAAAAATTGAGGCTTATTAGAAAGTCGATGAGATGTATGGCACAACCCATGAGCTGGTTATTTACTGGAGGTCTAAGCCCCAGCCACGGTTTTACGTAATCAGTGGGCCTCAGGCTTCTCTGTAAAAGGGGCTAACGCTCGAAACGTCAGCTTTTAAACTCCGTTTTCGGCGGCCAATTTACGTTATTCAACTCAGTTTATAATACCAAATTACCCTGTTATATACTTTCCCACCGACGCAGCACCACAGTTTCTTCAGAAACTTACCCCCTTTAGAGTTTAATCCAGTCGACCAAAGCTATTTAGATTGACGCGATTTGTTGCCTAATGCAACTCTTACACTTCTTTCGTGCTTAGCAACCTCAGGCGTGCACCATTACTCGATGGTTGCACACTGCTCGCTAATCATTTCATAAGTTCATGATGCCTCTGAGATGGAAACTTTCCAAAAATTTCAGGCAAAGGCTGTTCCATTGAAAAAAGTTCAGGGGTAGGCGCATTCTTTGAAACTGGCGAAAGTGTTTTCGATTAATTAAAAAATAACAAATTACAAAGCGTCTTTTCCGTTTTATTCATAACCCACTCCACGAGCCTAAGTTTTTGTTACGTAAGGGGGGCTAGCTGTTTATGGAAAGATCTTAAATTCAGTTCCCTCGAGTCGCACAAGGGTTAGTTAGGCCGACATCAAGTCCAGGGTTGATAACAAGGATTTTGCAACATGCTAACTTCACATGTGACGTGTGTGTGACTGCCAGCTGGGCGAGTTTAATCTGTTTTCCCTTTCAAAAGCATTTTCAATACCTATTTTGGGAGAATTACCACACTCAATAAATGTGTAAGTAAACAATATCCTATCAAATTTAAACATGCTATCTTGAACGTGTCTCGACCCATCAAAAAATTAAGTTATATTCCAGAGTTCATATGGAATACCCAGTAAGGGGCACAATTAAATACTTGTAATCAGAAATCGTTACGTGTAGATCCGGCGAATTTCTTTCCCATGCCTGATAATTCAATGGAATTTATTTCTTCGTGCCGCACGCGTGCTTGTCTAAAGCAATACCTGAAGGTTCTTTTTATAACCCTTCGCATCTCAGGCAGTCGCCAAAAGTATACCACAGGATTAAGCGCCGAGTTTATGAAAGTTATCGTCCCTGTGTACTGCAGTGCGACAAATTTAGTGAGACTTTGTCCTGTAAACTGAACTGCAATGGCTACACATACATATGGAGAATAACAAAGAAACATAATAAAGCAAACGTAAAACGTGTTTATAGCTGATTTTGTGAAACGAGTGCACCGTATTTGGGTTAACGCTTCTTGTTCGATTCCAACTCGAGCTTGAGATTGAATCTGGGCCTGGTGACGTCTTACAATGCGATAGATTTTATAGTGCATCAAAATGATAACAGTGAACGAGACAAGGAAAGAAGCGATTCCAACAAGGTAATAAACTGTAGTGTTCTGTGTCCATATAAATCCACAAAATGCGGAAAAAAACCAACATAAAATGATGATCACCACGACTTTTTTGTTGGTGACAATGGCTTGATATCTCATATGCAGGTAAAAAACCAGGTACCTATCTACACTTATCGCAGTTGCTATGAAAAACGACGACGCAGATGACACAACGGAGAGAACATCAAACGCCAGGGTAAGAGAGACTGGACCTTCTTCATCGGACACGAGGTATATCACCGAAGAGGCGACTGTTAAAGGCTGAGTAACCGAACCGACGAGGAAATCCGTCAGCGCAAGACCAAACAATAATGTGTTTGAAGGTGAATGAAGAGAGGGCGTCCTCCAAATAACGATTAGTATTATTCCATTTCCAAAAGCAGCTGGGAATGAACAAATGGCGTTTAAAATGCAGTTGATAAGTCTTGAAGTTCTTAATGTAGAGATGTCGTCTTGGTTATTTGAAACAATATTCACGGAGGACATTTCTCTTGAACAATAAGCTCCAAATACATGTTCAAATAAGTATATTATAAAATCCACATGTAGATCCTAACCTATCAACAACCGCGAAATAAATGTTAGAAAAACATAAATTATTAATTCAAAATATATTTGTTTGCAATGTAAATTTCTTTTTTCAGTTTCCGTTTAAGTTTTTGAACACACGTTTTATTACAGATAAACTGAGAAAGGATTAAAGACAAATTTCTGAGAAATATCCAGTGTTCCAAAACGCCGGAGACACATAACATAGTCCGGTTTTTTAATTTCGAAACTCGAGAATGAAAAGCAATTAGTAGTCGAATTGATGGTGAATTTTCAAACGAACTTATTTGACGGCTGCAAAAACAGCTTAAGAGCTCGTAAATGTTTTCATATTTGTTGTGGCTGTGCCAATTGCTCTCCAAATTGACGTATATCCAATAGCTCAATTGAAAAGACGGATAGAGAAGAGGCAATCTCAGTATTCGCTTAAGCAGACAAAATTTTCGTTCATTTACTGTCATTTTAGTCAAACTAGTCGAAAGACCAGCGTAGAAATTTTGATGAAAGTCTTTCCCTTAGTGAGATTCACCCAGATATAGTTGAGTGCGTAAACACAGAAATAAAGATTCTAATCAAGAATGACGATACGCGCCATTTCGCGCGAAGATACAACGCTGAAGCACGATGTAGTGAATTTCCAATCTAAAGACTCGATCACCTTTGGATAAAGTGTAAGATCCGTGCTGCGCTTGATTGATAAATTCGCTAAAGATCTCCTCTTTTTCATGATGTCACCATGGTAACACGCCTGCCACCTGCTGAAGTATTGACTCGTACTCGAAACAACGTTTTAACCTAAGGACATGGAACGACGCTAAACTTAACAGTGCTGCCTGTTTTAGTGTTGATTAATCTTCATGAACTGTTTTGTAATCATTATTTGTTCATTTTTTTCCATCCATGACCTGGTGGGTATCATTAAGTTGTGATCAAGACTAATGTTTTCCAACTCGCACTCTACTCTTACAAAGCTTGCATTGAAGATATGGCATGCAGTGGATCAGAACGGGACCTCTTAATGTAGAAAAATGGTCTTGCAGGATTATCAAATCAAAATGAACAAAGAACTTTTGGTTTAGGCAAGCTTTTTGTTACACAAATCCCCTTCTTAGTAACATATGTTGGAATATATCTACTCTGCAGGGTGCACTTACCATCCAGGGAACCAATAAATGTTAAGTAAATCTTTGACAAGAAGGACACATTTACACTTATTTGTTGACGTCATTTTGATTTTAAGTTCCCGTTTCATTTTTTTAAGTATTTCATTTTGCACTACTAATATACAAGAAAGCAAATTTAAAACAATTTGGCGACATTTTTTTTACACAATTCTCCTAAACTCGGAATTGGACGAGGCTGTGCTGATCAGTAGCATTAATTTTTCGTAGTTTGCTGAGCAACTAGAAGGCAAATTGATGACAGACATTCAAATGCACTTACCTAACAGCTGACAAAACAGACAAAGAAGCCCTAATTTGATTTTGCTTAGTTTTGCACTGACATTTGTTTTTTTCGGGGGTCTTCCATCTATTTAGAAATTTGAAAGGGAATTTGAACATCTATATCACCTTTTGCAGACGAGACAAAATCTCATTTAGATTATATAAAAATGTTTGTGGGATAGTGATTTATAATTTCTAATAAAATTATTCGCACTAATATACCATTTCGTGTAAATATTCAATATTCGGGGACATAAACTCTTTTGTTATGGATTTTGCCTTCCTTTAAGACCAACTCCAGCACCTGCTGAGATACTAACCACATGGCACTCTAAACCACGTCTTACCGTAATGGCACAAACACTGATAAGGGAGGGACGCATTCAGGAAACTTTGATGGCGGGTTTCAAACTCTTATTCAGAGACCACATTTTTTTTTATTTTACACTTTTGCCAAAATAAGATAAGAAATATTTTCACAAAACCAAATTTTGATCCGTTACCGTAAACATCTCATGTTAATTCATCTTTGCAAATTGTTCAACGGATACCTGCTTTAATAAACTATTAAATTTTAACATCTCACCTTGCATAAGTGGTAATTCATAATGACCTGACCATAATGACAACGAATAACCTGAGGCTGTTGTGGTTTCTGTGAAGCTTACAGGTAACATTTTCATTTCGCAAATTACAAATTTTCATTTTGTTTCGTTTCGTTTCGCAAATTACAGTAAGCCACCAATATTATAACGCCACACATGTGACAGGAATGTGGTCACAAAGTGTACCCAAATTCTAGCTACCTTTCTTTTGTTTTACGGAGATTCTCGTCTTGAAATCTGTGCTTTTATTCATACCAAAATGTCCGAAACCGATTTCTTTTAAAACTGTTTTTGCTATTGTTTGAATACTTGCAAAATTCTGTCCTACAGTACTCACAATTTTTTTAGTTTTGTAGCTGATTTTTTGAGAAACTCTCTCAAGCAAAACATTCACGTAGTTACAATTACTTTCGACAGTGATTTGACAACCATTTTAATACGAGTTGGTACTATTTTTCTTTTAATTAAATACGGTTCCATTATCAAGCAGGACTCTTGTTACTGAGAATCCCTGTTCAAGACTGCTTTTACAAAAATTTAAAATCTCTAATTTAGCACCCTTTTTAATTATCCTTACAGCCAGAAGTAAAAGAGGGAGACCTAAAAGGAATTATTACGGACTAAATCAACAGCGTGTCCCCAGTAAAGAAGAGCGAAAAGAATACCAAATGGATGGATTGTCAAACCTAACTGGGAGACAGAACTGTAAGAGAACTCTCGATTGCCTCACACCAGTCACAAAAAAACCACCAGGATTGTCTGATCATTTGCTCTAAAGTGTAGCAATGTCAAAAACGTGTGTTACATACAACAAAAACTTATTTGCTATAATAAAACAATTAAGACCACTCTTTTAATTTTGTACTTTCTCTACAGTTTTGTACTTTCTCTCAATTTGCCAAGATAACTGTAAACTCTTAGTATTTCTTAGCATTTGTGGAGGCGAGAAAATCGAATTTACTTTAATATAAAAGAAAAAAACGCAATTAGGCCGCTCCGTTATAATAATAGTGGTCCACATTTCAGTTTCACCTGTTACGGTATAATCTACTAGATTAGTAACCGACAAAAAAAAACAAATCTACCATCCCACAAACTCGACTTTATTACTTTATTTATACTACTTTATACTACTTTATTATTTATTTATACTACTCTATTAAACAGTGAGTAATGTTCTTAACAAGGAGTGACTCCCAAAAGCAGTATAATACTTATCGTCAATAAACTTAATTAAGCCCACCACAGTCTATATCCTAGCTCACCAATGGCACAATCTCACTACTGTCTCCAAAGTTCCTTGAAATAAGCAATCTCCCGCCGTAACTCTCTCTCGGTATAGCTTTCAAAACAGTCGTCGCTCCGACAACAGAAATTACTGCTCCTACCACATGAGTGAGTCGTCATATATTCACAAAGTGTTCTGGAACATTCCAGGAGCCTACATAAAGGAAGCTAAATTAAGCCGGATGAATTAACATCAAAATTATCTTTCCTCTGGCTGTCTATACTGCGTGTATGATATTAAATGTATGTAGATATTGCAAGGTGAACATAATAACAAAAACTAGTTTTCAATACACCGAAATTATAATTAGGCATTTTCTATCATTTTTCTTAGCGTTCTTTTTTTTTTTGGTCAAAAAAGCATCAGCGCCCAACAAGTTTTGAAAGTTGTCTGTCTATTGTATCAGTAGCTTACTAAATAAATTTTGAAATGAACCCGATCCACTCCTCTTAAAATGAATACCTTGGGTAACAAAGCAAATAGCTCGGTATATGGTACAAACAATAGCTTTCTATAAGGTACAAAATGATAATTTAGGTATGATTAACTCATCTAGCTATATCTAAATTCCGTGTGCCGGCGACATCAAGCGTATGTTAATGCTGCAACTCAAACTCAATTTCAAGAAAAACAAGCTCTTCAACTCATCTAAATGATAATCAGGTACTTACCAGTTCTAATTTCCTCAAAGATGATTGGTTTGTCGAAAAGTGCATGGGGTTTGCAAAGTATAAATTTATAATAAAGATATTTCATAGCGGAATATTTTCTTTCCCTTCTGAGCCAAATGTCTACTCTTCATTTTAGTTCAAGTACGTTGGAAGAGGATCTCTCTGCAGTGCGAACTTCAAGCCTGATCAACTGCATTCTTAATGCCATTTGTTCATTCCCAGCAACGTTAGGAAACGGAGTCATACTGATCGCTGTTTGGCGGACGCCAGCTCTCCATTCGCCTTCAAACACTTTGCTATTTGGTCTTGCACTGACCGACTTCCTCGTTGGCATACTGACTCAGCCCTTAATAGTGGCCTGCTATATCATCTTCCTTGTCGAAAAGGAAGAAGGTCCAATCGCTCTCTCACTGGCGTTTGATGTGCTTTCTGTTGTATTATCTGCGGCGTCTTTTACGATAGCAACTGCTATAAGTATAGATAGGTACCTGACGTTTCACCTGCATATGAGATATCAAGCCATTGTCACTAACAAAAAAATCGTGGTGATCATCGCTTTATGTTGGTGTTCATCCTCTCTTTTGGGAGTCATTTGGACCCAAAATACTACAGCTTATTATGTAATTGGAATAACAATCTTCATCATCTCTATTGTTATTATAGTTCTAACGTACTTTAAAATCTATCGCATTGTGAGACGTCACCAGGCCCAAATACAATCTCAAGCTCCTGTTGGAAGCGCAAAAGAAACTTCATCACATTTGCAGTTCGCACGTTTCACAAAGTCAGCTGTGAATACGTTTTACGTTTGCTTCATTCTCTTCTTTTGCTTTTTCCCATATACTTGTACAACTGGCTTGATTCAAGTGACAGGTTCAAGCCTCACCAAAAATATCGCACTGCAATACACAGGAACCATATCGCTTATAAACTCGTCGTTGAACCCAATAGTCTACTTTTGGCGGCTTCCTGAAATTCGTAAGGCGATAAAGAAAACTTTAAAGTGTTGTTACCACAGACGTGTAAACAAGCGACAAGAAAGCAAACAGAGGAGTGACCAGGCTTCCAACATATAGAGAATTCAGCACGCTCTGATGTTAAACAAAGATCTTCCATCATGATTGTCCGAATGCGAATTTTGTCTTCTGAGGCTGAATAATGTGGTTGTGCATACATTATACTAAAGATTAGCTTCTTTCATGATATTTTAGTGACCGACGATTGAGTTTGTTGTTTAGTGAATATCTTCAGTCCAAATTTTAGACCGTACAGGGAACGTGCAGCAAACAGGAAGCGGGAGGAATATAGGAACATTAAAGCTAATTTAGAAAAATAGATCTTTTATCTTCTGAAATATATCTTCCATCCTTCTTACGTTTATTAACGACTAATTTATTCAAATACGCTTAAATACCCGCCAGCAACTTCCTATTACAGTGACCTTATCAGCCAAAGTTTTGATGATCGCGGAAGTTCTGCTGACAATGACGAAAACCATCTTTTAAAGAAAAAGTGCAACCCAGTTGAAGAACCGGGATTGTAACGTTGTTTTTAAAAATGTTTATGTCGTAATGCTCCGAAGTTCGTCAATATGTCACTTGTTTTAATTACCCCTCAAAAAATTTAATTTTTGTAAAACGCGCATCATGAACCCTTCTTTAATTTCAGCAGAATCAGTGTATGAATTTTGAGAGGTGTTGTGTTAAAGGTAAAGTATCCACGGAAAACAAAGCATTACACATTTTAGACGAACCGCTGAAGTAAGCAGCTTTACTTCAGAAAGTTCTAAAAGATGTTTATGTAGTAAGTAGCGATGTTATTATGGTGCTGAATAAATGAATACTATTTTGCATTTAATTAAAAGAAGGCTGTCGAGATATGCTAACAAAGAAAATGAAAAGATATGGAAATAGCCAAGATAAACATAGGTAGAGTTCAGATTAAGGAGAAAGCATTTTTTTTTTTGTAATAAAGCCAGTAAAATAAAGTATAACGTTATTACAACCTGGTTTCCCATTCAGCTCGAAGGCTGATATCCGAAGGGGCCCTGCATCTTAAGAATTACTAGACTAATAAATTATCCGCGAAAATATCAAACAAAAATGACATTTTCTCGGTAAGGCTTTCAATTTCCTCTATTGTTGCATACAGGTGGTAGCTCCATGTAAGATAAAAAAACCCTTAGAAATTTATCTCTGAGATATGTTCATATTTTCAGGAGTTTGTTTTGTTGTGCTGTTACTTTCTTTTCGTTAAGTATTAAATTATGATTCAGTTTTGTAATCACATAGCGGGGTCAGTTCCCTTTATGTTGAGCTCGTATTTCAGTTTTTGCACTTTGATAGGCTTCTCCGTTTAGGAAGCCTGACAGGTGCCAACGATTTAAATGTATTGTGAAATTATATAACTTTTGAAGATTGTCACCATGAAAAATCATATCGAACTCGTGATCTAACTAATCTAAGACAGCATTCTTTGACTGGGGGAGTTCTGCGGTATAATATCGTTGCCCTGTGATTAGTGGAGCGATGAATGGGATTCAATCCAGTAAAATGTTTACAAGCCATTTTTTACGCGGTACACTGAGTAAGTACAAACTTTACTGCATTTGTTGGTTATGCTTTAGACTGAAATATATTTAACAAATAGAGAAGCCTTGACTGTGCTCTGTTCTGTTATAAAGCACGCAGGAAGCGGCTAGAGCACGAAAGAAGTGTAGGGAGAAACACGAGACGTAGTCGAGTGTTTCTCCCCACTTCTTGAATCCGTTAAATTCCCCATGCATTACTTTCAATTTTCAAAACAAACTTTATTTCCAAAGCGAACAACAGTGTCGTCAGCATGCTCTATACTCTCATAGAGCACGCTAAAATAAGCCAATCAGAATCCCTGTTAGAATGGTTCAAATAATCTGATTGGCTGTACAAGACAAAAGCTGTCAAAAGTGTCAAACCATCAAAGTTCAAAAACCATCTAAGTTCACAATCTGCGATAGTTTACAAACTAAAATAGTTCGGCAGGTCGAATTTAACGCTTTTGCCTGAAGTTTTTAATACAGAATCTTGAAGTGAAATGTTCAGTGAACTTCAGCCGAATTATGGCTCATAAAAATACGCGAGTTTTTTCACATGACAAGGTAGAAAACAAACTGTTCAAGGAGAGTGTTTTTTAAATGAACGACAGCCGAATTCACCGGAACATGAAGATCGCTCGGGATGACAGCGCCGCAAAACTCGGCTGCAGTGACTGAAGTGACTTTCCACTCAACACATCCGAAAGGATATCAGAACGAGCTCTTATTTTTTCGCTCAAAGGGCGGCCTATGTAGTTTCTGAGGCTTGCTTTACTGTGATGACCGGAGATCGCCATGATAAGCGAACCGCGATGGACTTCAGCATGATCATATTTGCTCAGACACCGTCATGATTAGTATGAATTTTTAACAGTTATGCCAGTTTTGTTATATTTTTCATCATTTCTGTTTTGTTCTGTTTTGTTTTTGAACTCTGAACTTTATATACTATACGAGTGTTGGCTGTGTTTGATTTTTATTACCGCACGTAAGCTTGCAATCTAACTGAGCGTGAAAATCTTTAAAACTTGGAATGTCTATTTTGTTTTTCCTTTGAGGATTTTCGTATCTGCTCACGTTTTAATAACGTAAATTACGGCGCCTGGTTTGTCTACAAACCTTTTTTGGTTCTTCTGTTGCTACTTGCCGGCTCGCTTGTTCCGAAATTTCACTTTCAATTATCGGAAAGAAAGCTAAAAAGAAGTCCCGGAAAAGGTCGAACATAGTACAATTTGGCAGATGGCGTGACAGCTTCAGCTCAGTTCTATGCTCTATACTCTCATAGAGCACGCTCTTTCAACCAATGACAGCGTGCGTTATATCCGAACTTTATTATAAAATGTATTAAGCAAGAATTGAATGATAAGATATAGATATCTCGGTATAGAATCATCTTGTACCCCTCAGCCAAATTAAACGAGAAAGGGATTATCAGAGGCTCTTTTATAGTCCTCTAATAACAAAAGATATTGAAATCGAGAAACGTCTACTTTAAAGTTTTATCATGAAAAATGAATAAGTAAGCTAATAAATGAGAATAACAAAGGAGATATTTATAAACGGGTCTTACAGTTTCATTTTAGTTTCGAGGCGATGCAAAATTAATTTGAAAACAGTTACTTACAATTGCGGCACGATCATGTGGTTTTGGAATAATGTGGCCCTTGTTGTTCGTCATTGTTTTGTCTTGACGTAGGGCGCAACACTTTTCAGGTTGAAGGTTCACCTATTGACCGTTTTCAGTCTTTAGTTTCCTGATCCTTTAACTTTTGAAGATTGACACCAAGAAAATTAATATCGAACTCTTGATCTAACTAAAGTAAGAGAAAATTCTTTGACTTTGTTATTCATGATCATTGTGTCTTGACGTAAGGTGCAACACCGCTCGATGGGGTCTTTAAAATACAAAAGCTTAGTGACCAACCTCCTGTTGTTACTGTGACAAGGTTTCTTGCGAGAAGTATACAAGAAAACAGTATGCACTGAACCATAATATTCTTGATAACCGTTCAACTTTTTTTGTGGTGAGTTTCTAGGTATACTTGTGTCCACAGGACATTACGAGCCTTGCCTTGCCGAATTAATGTTAGGAACAGATGAATTTTACTCCGCGGCGGCGCGATATTAATTTCTGAACGATCAAGAGCCTCTCTATGTCCTTTTTGGATCGTCTGATATTAAATTTAGCTATTGCCACACAATGTCAATCGACTGATTATACTCTTGCTCGAGATCCATTTTCTGCTATTTCTCATTACTTCCTCTTTTCTTCCTCTTTTCACGAGAACTGGGGTGCGATTTTTTAAGGGTTGACGTCGTTTTTTATGATATTCCTGCAATAACAATCGCTGCACATGTTTTATTTTCTTTTTTGAAGCTATCCTGTCTTTGATGATGCAGGTGAAAGGAACAGGTGAGACAGTGTAATTCTAATTTCAAGTTTTTTTTTTTCTAAAAGGGCACGGAAACGAATCCTGCCATCTGATTGGTTCTTAGCGCGGTCCGTATTTTCCTGTCACTGCCTACGGGCACGCTAACGCTTTGTCGCCGAGTACATCCCTACCTTCGTTGCCATTTTTTCATAAATATATCGCGTTTTTCAGGCTGGGCAGTATTTTTAGGCAAAGACGTCGGTCACTACCTCAAGCCGATAAATAACTTATTAATTCTCTCTTTTGGTTGACAGAAAAATATTGGTTTCGAAATTAATTTGTTTTAGCTAAAGTGTTATTAAAGTGGCTGACAAGCGGCCTAAAACCCGTCTGTATTTACTTTTAATCCTCCACAAAAAGTACCTAGAAAGTTAAAACGTGAGGTATTGGTTACAATTGAATTAATCGATGAAACTTTCATTCATTTGATATCTGAATTCTTTTAAACAATTTGTTAATAGTGAAAGGGCGAGCGAAGTTTTTAGTTCTACTACAAAGACGCTTTCGGTAAGTCTTTCTAAGTCCGTTCAGGTTGGACATTTTTACCGTGAATTGTACAACAGAAACTGAAGAAATTCAATGATAAAAATCCGCATCCAATTCTCTTGCGTCAAGTTGAAGTGTCTCATTCGAATTGATTTTTTGTGGAGGAAAGACCACATTTACACACGCCATTGCAGTAAACAAACCAGCAAATTCTGACAACTTAAAAAAGAAAAATTTGAATTCGATTACAATTACTTACCTTGCTTTTCACTCACTGAACAGAGGTAAATCTTCGTACATTAATTAATTGTCGATGAGAGTGAATAATACTGTCCGGAAGATCACTGACTGTTTTTTAAGAAAACGTTGTTGCGACAGTCCTTGCCAAACTAGTGCCGTTCTTTTTTCAAAAGTGTACTTGCGCTTTTTTTTCTTCTTACGCGCTCTCCAACTGACAGGTGTCAGATTGTGACAGATACTTGTAAAAATAATATGTCAAATTTTGTTGGAAGCCTTTTAAATCACCTTTATCATTACGCAAATGAAAATGTTTCGGTGAAGCATCTCTCTTTAATTTGCATCACCTCTATTTTAACTATCATTTACTCGCTCAAAAATTGTTCAGTTTATGGAAGATCTTGCCTTAATTAAAGCCGTAAATCATTCGGGTTCTTTTGGAAAGAATTTCGTTATGTTTATGAAAAAAACAGAACTGTTATTCACCGGCCTAGGTTGGTCGGTATTGGGAAAAACTATCCCCTCTATCTTGAGTACCGCCCGAGGCTGTAGGCTGAGGGCGGTACTCAAGACTTCGGGCATCGTTTTTCCCAATACCGACCGACCTAGGCGGGCGAATAACATATATATATGTGTACTTAAAATCGAACTGAAAGCTACTGGCCATGTGAAGTACATATATATTGATCTGCTTGCTTTTTTAATTGGAAAACTAAGATACAAAGGATCACAATCCCATTACCCTGATATCTATGATTCATAGGTTTCCGTTTGACAACTATTTGCTTCACGCAAGGATGAACACTTCCTTGAAAAAAAAAAAAAAGAGCAGAAGCTGACGATACCGCTGCGAACCTACCAAAGTGATATCGAGTAGCGTGAATTAATTATTCGTACTAAGAAAACGACATTAAAATATCTCTGCAAAAATAAACTTTGAGCACCATACTAATGCTGCGTCATAATCTATGGACTATACGAGGTGTGAAGTATATAGACACTGTCTGGCAATTGACGGGAAACACAGAAATAGCATAGCAGTTATTTGTGGATAAGTTCTCATTTTGTGAAAATGAATAGTGAAAGCCATTTTCAAGAATCTGCCCTCAGAAGTAGGCCGTACAAGAGAGAATTCGGAATGTATTCGAAGTTAGGAGGGCTTGTAAAGGGATCGTGATCAACTTAAGAGGTCTAAAGGGCAGTCGGACTTATTAATTCGCTCCTTGTAGTGTCAAAAGTTTGTTGATTTGGATCACGTTCCTCCAGATCTCTCAGATAAAAAGGGCAAATTATTTGCTATTGGATATGAATTATTGAAATTACAGAGTTGAATCTGACATCTAAAATCTTAATCAGGACAAACAGGATGTCGATTGCCAATCGATTGTCTCGAGCAATGTTATCACGTTCTACCTGAGAATAATTCATCTAAGCATCGAGTGCTCTTTTTGAAAGTTCAATGTTCATAAAGTATGAGGAATTTCCCAATTAAACATGTTATATTAAGTGCAAGCTGGCAAAAGGGGGCAAAAGTTCCAACTTTCAACGGGTGAGCACTAAGAAGACTAAGAAACTAGTGAAAAAAGGAAGGAGTGGTTGATCCCAACGTGCTTATTTTGTGGGGAATATTGCTTCCTTTCTTGTTCTGAATCTGGATAACGTTTTATTTGCTTCAAAATGAGATTGCACATGCGTCTTTTAAAGAGGATAAACAGTAACATAAGTGCACACAAATATGTTGGGCTCCATCCAACCTTGTCATCAACAATAGAGGACGAAACAAAAGAGATGTTCATAATCACAAGGTAACTCAATTTCAATTTCGCTCCCAATTCGCCCCCCAACCATAAACTCATCAGAAATGTAACACAGCGAAATTCACCTGAAATAATTGTAGTCATTGTTGCAATATGGCAATCTTCAATTGAGTGTCAAACATGGAGTCGAAGATTGCATCGGTTTTGCTTATCAAACCTTTTAGACTGGTTTAATAAAAAAAGGAAATAATGCCTCCAACTCAAGCTCACGATCGTTTTGAACAGGTTGGAGTTGTCCTAAAGACTGGTTATACTTCAACGGCTCATGCTATCGAGCTTATAACACGCAACTGTCTTGGTTTTACGCAAGAGCCGCTTGCCAGGAAAACGGAGGGGATCTGCTCAGCATAAACTCTGATGGAGAGCAGAAGTTCGTGTACCGATGCATGGCAGTAAACAAAACGTTCTGGATCGGCCTGGTGAAAGATCAAAGTTCTAAAAATTTCCGCTGGTCGAAAGGCGAGGAGCTAACTTATCTGAACTGGATTCTTCACCCGGACATTTCGGGTCATGAGGACTGCGGTGAGATAACAGACTATGGTTCATTTCACGGCAAGTGGAACGACGCTAGCTGTTTCAAAAAACAGCCATACATCTGTGAAAAAGGTTAAGTAAATCATTCACCTCAGGCACTTAGTAGTATGGATTTACACTGCCTTTTTCTGATAGAGATACAATTATGGTAACTTTTCTGATGGCAAGTTTTTTATTGTAGTCATCAGTAGTCCCCAGAGAAATATTCGATTGAGTGTTGAATTTAACCATGCACTGCATCAGTTTTGACTCCCTGTATTCTGCGGTTGGTCTAGAAAGCTTATACAAACATAGTAACTGATCATGTGAAAAACAGAAAGTAATCATTCTTTGGCACTCGTATTTTCCCGTGCGTCACGCAGTTCACCCTCTCCCTTACTCGGAATAATTCCCTTTAATCTGATTGGTGTTTCTAATTAACTTAGCTTTGGTATTGAGACACTCAATCGAAACAGACACGCGAGGACGAGAGATGAAAAATAAGAAGTAAACATTTTCTTCTGTCATTGCCCTTGGGAGCTTATCCACAGTGGGAAACATTGGTGCTAAACAGTGCGGATCATCAATCCGGATTAGCTAAATTGAACCAAATGTGATCAAGTTTACAGGGGCACTTTACCCGCGGAAACACATCAGAGAGTCTGTCGAGATTCGGGGTTCTATAAATGAATGACAAGTTCTGTACCTTTGTCTGGCATTTCACTCTCATTAAATTTTTTGAGGGCATTTACCTTGATGAAAAGGAAATTTTTGGAGGAGGACGTGTCGTTTGAGACTTAAAGCCAGGTACAGGAAAAAGTTGTCCAAAGCACAACTAGCAATAATCCATGAATAAATTCTAAAGAAACTGTGGTGCTGCGTCAGCGGTAGGGTATAACATTGTAATTTGGTGTTAAAGCTGACGTTTCGAGCGTCAGCCCTTTGTCAGAGCGCTATGGTAACTTTTATTTCTTGTATGTAGGTAAACATGATATTTATTGATCAAGTCTCGAACTTGGTCCTTGTAAATTAAAATGTGTAAATAAAAACAGGAAGAAGCAACTGGAATAACACAGAAGTATGTCCAAACTAACAAAGAATCTGATAACTCTTTAACGCCCAAGATCTGATTGTTAATTCTTGTTACCTTTTTGCTGAATAGTTCATGGGTATGGTAGGGAGAAGTTACTTGTTGATCACTTTTGGGAGTTTAAGGGTTAATAGGAAAAGAACGTTCATCCCAAATGCTGATTAGTAACGAACAACATTTTGTATCGAAACAGATGCAGCAGACGGAAGATATTTCAAGAGATCACCGAACACCTAGCTGACTAAGCATGTGATTCATCAATTGGTAGTACAAAGTGACATTGACTGTTTGCTTTGGTGTCGACGCTATCAAAACAGCACATCAGTTAATTACAGGCCAGGGGAGGCGCCATCAACGAGCCTTTGTGAGATAAAAGCTGCCATCGCAAACGAGTTTCCTGAAGATCTGGTCGAGAGCGAGGAATGCGATTATTACGAGGCTTTAGGTTGAAGGTTGGACTTATTATTGGTCCCTCCCTTGTGATCACTAGCAATCATGAACCATTTAGTTTCTAACTCGGTAATGTAAGGTTTTCTATTTTCGCAGCAAGTTGTATAAATAAATAAATTCATAAATAAATAAATAAATTATCATGAGTAATAGAAAAAAATGTAACAATGCCTGGTTGGGTTGGATTGGGTCAAACTGGGCGTTTTTGAGTACCTTCTTTTATCAACCATTGTGTTCACATACATGATGAAAATGATGGACTAAATTGAAAGTGTTGTATACTAATAACAAAAAATAAACGTTTCTGAAACACCATGATGTTTTACGAGGCGATATAGTATAACCCCTGCCATTTTAATTGCATACACGAGATGTAGTGTTTATGTATCATCAAACAGAAAATAGGGTTGGTGAAAAATTTTTTTCATTTCTAGTATGTGTAATTACATTCAGATTTGCACACAAAAAAACAAAAAAAAAAAAGGATATAAGACGGCTCTAAGGGCATTTGTTTAGATAAATTGCCGTCATAAGAAAGTTGTTCAACCACATCCTTGCGATCAAGTTTTAACAATTGCAGCAAAATATTGCACCCAAAGCATTCCATTGTTTTGAGAATAAAATTGGCAAGGCCTTTAGGTTAAATACAGTTACCAAGAATAAGCACAAGTCATAATAGTTGTTTTCATTACATTTTCTTCGAATTTAGACATAACTATATCTAATACTCCATTGATAATTGATAGTACATCATTTCATTTGAGTCAAAATTGACCCCACATCTCCACTTAGTCTCTGAATAAGCGAGCGCAAGGAAAACATACCAAAAGTGATTTTCTGCGCTACCTAGGATGTCTGTTATTTGACACGTCATGAAACGCGTGAAAATGCGATTCAAGCAATGCGTGACAAAGCACGTGTGTGAATGTTCCACTTTCCGCTACTTCGTAACGTTTCTCTCTGTTACGTTATCAAAAATATGAGGACGGTTCATTGAATTAGTGGCCATCCTAGCAAAAAGGATTCAAACTTCTATCAAAACATTTCACAACCAGGAATTACCCACAATTACTACTGGCTCAAGCTGAAGAAATCGTAAGTCACGAAAATCCGTGTAGCACTGGGGAAATTTACTTAGCAAGCTGTACCGAGAATATGTCTGACGGCAAAATACCCTGAAGTTCTGGACACTACCTTTCCTTTGCTTCTTCAGCAAAACAGTCTCACGATCAAGAAATGTTGGGACCTTTTTCAATAATCCCTCCAGCCATAAACCAACCCTTTATTTATCGAGAGTGCTTACTGTCTGACTGACAGCACTCAATAAATTCTCTGTAAGGTGCACTCGTTTGAGCGGCCCTTCTAAATGTGGATATCAAAGTCTCCTTATGATTTGCGTCGAGGTTCTGCCTTCCTTTAAGACCAACCCCGGCACCTGTTGAGATACTAACCACATGACACTCTAAACCACGTCTTACCGTAATGGCACAAACATTGCTAAGGGAGGGACGCATTCAGGAAACCTTGATGGCGGGTTTCAAACTCTTATTCAGAGACCACATTTTTTTTTTATTTTACACCATTACCAAAATAAGATAAGAAATATTTTCACAAAACCAAATTTTGATCCGTTACCGTAAAGATCTCATGTTAATTCATCTTTGCAAATCGTTCAACGGATGTCTGCTTTAATAAACTATTAAATCTTAACATCTCACCTTGCATAAGTGGTAAGAGAATGTGTATGTAATTCATAATGACCTGACCATAACGACAACAAATGACCTGAGGCTGTTGTGGTTTCTGTGAAGCTTACCGTGCGTCACAGGTAACATTTTCATTTCGCAAATTACAAATTTTCATTTTGTTTCGTTTCGTTTCGCAAATTACAGTAAGCCACTAATATCAAAACGCCACACATGTGACAGGAATGTGGTAACAAAGTGTACCCAAATTCTAGCTATCTTTGTTTTATTTTACGGAGATCCTCGTCTTGAAATCTGTGCGTTTTATTCATACCAAAATGTCCGAAACCGATTTCTTTTAACATTGTTTTTGCTATGGTTTGAATACCTGCAAAATTCTGTTCTACGGTAGTAACAATTTTTTTAGTTTTGTATCTGATTTTTTGAGAAACTCTCCTAAGCAAAACATTTTTATAGTTACAATTACTTTCGACAGTGATTTTTCTTTTAATTAAATACGTTTCCATTATCAAGCAGGACTCTTGTTACTGAGAATCCCTGTACAGGACTGCTTTTACCAAAATTTAAAATCGCTAATTTAGCACCCTTTTTTACTATCCTTACAGCTAGAAGTAAACGAGGGAGACCTAAAAGGAATTATTACACCAGTCACAAAAAACCACCAGGATTGTTTGATCATTTGCTCTAAAGTATAGCAATGTCAAAAACGTGTGTTACACACAACAAAAACTTGTTTGCTATAATAAAAAAATCACGACCACTCTATTTATTTTGTATTTTCTCTCAATTTGCCAAGATAACTGGAAACTCTTAGCATTTCTTAGCATTTGTAGAGGCGAAAAAAATCGAATTTACTTTAATATAAAAGAAAAAACGCAATTAGGCCGCTCCGTTATAATAAAAGTGATCCACATCCTAGTTTCACCTGTTACGATATAATCAACTAGATTAGTAACCGACAATAAAAAACAAATCTGCCATCCCACAAACTCAACTACTTTATTAAACAGTGAGTTATGTAAAATATATTAAAGTTTGCACGGCAAACAGGTGGACAATCAGACATAGTTTGATGCTACTCTGGTTTACAGATTCAAAGGAAAAAAGGAAAACCGCTCTTTGGTGCTCTTTTAACCGTGTACCAAACTGACGTTTGGTCTGTCCGATGTATTCGTTGTCACAGTCATTGCAAGGAATAGAAAAAATGGCGTCGGTTCGTTGTTCTTTCGTGACAGGATCCTTAGGTTTGGCAAAAATATGCCCCAAAGTCTGAAAAGGTTTTTGAGCAACTTTAACGTTGTGGCTATTCAAAATTCTCTTGATGGGTTCCGTAACACCCTGTATGTAAAGAATAACAGCAAAACCAGTCGCTGGTTCCCTTTTATCAAGAGCTTTACTATTTGTAACTGGTTTTTGGCAGTTACGGAGAAAAGTTTTTGTATAGCCATTTGCCTTTAGGACGTTGGAAACATATTTCCTCTCCTCAGCCTCAGAATCGAGTGAAGATGGTAGACAGTCAGCCCTCCTAAGTAAAGTTTTGGCTACAGACTTTTTATGGCAAATAGGGTGGTGAGAATCGAAGACGAGGTATTTGTCGGTGTGGGTAGGTTTACGGTATTTTTTCATTTCATTTGATTTTATTTTTATTTAAACACGGTCAATTCATCAGCCTAAAAAATACATATCACATACGCTAGAATATTTAAAACTCAAACTATATTCTATAACACTAAAAGCTGTTTTCCGTGAGTGCCGTGCGTTAGACTTAAAGAATGTCATTGATCTTACGTTTAAATACCCCCAGAGACTCTGTGTTCTTTATATCGCATGGTAGACTGTTCCATAATGTGGCGCCATTGTAGCTAAAACTCTTTCGGTAATAATTAGTGCGCGGTAAGGGAACATTGAGCTTATTTTCAGAGTCCCTGAGGTCATAAGCAGAGTCACGCCACGTAAACTTTGAACACAGATACTCTGGAGCTAGCCCGTGCAGACATCTAAACATCATGGTGGCTTTGTGAATTTCCTGCTGGCGTGTAAGATTTTTCCACCTTAAAAACTCGAGTAGCTCAGTTGCATCATCATAGTTAGAGAATGTCAACACACGGGCTGCTCTATTCTGCAATTTCTGCAGTTTGTCTTGTAGCGTTTTCCCACAGTTACCCCAAACAATGTCACAGTAATCAAAGTGAGGTTTTACTAAGGCTTGATAAACGAGATGTAAGGTTGATGCTGGTATCAGGTGCCTAATTCGCTTTAGGGCCCCGATACCAGAGGCGATCTTTTTGGTTAATTTTTCGCTGTGACTATGCCAATCGAGTTTATCGTCTATTATTACACCAAGCGATTTCGTAGCTGTAACCTGGCTCACTTGAGTATTGTTCATTGTAATTGTTGGTGAAGCTGTGAGAGTATTCAGTCTCTGCCTCGACCCTATTAGCATGAATTCGGTTTTGGTCATGTTCAATGTAAGTTTGTTTGCTTGTAGCCAGTTGAAAACGTTTGCTGGGTCTTCATTTAGACAAAACTGAACATTCTCAAGATTACTGCCTGCATATGTAAGGTGCGTGTCGTCAGCGAACATTCTTGGTTTACAATTTGATAAGCAATTTGGAAGATCGTTAATATATAATAAGAACAATAATGGACCGAGGATGGTCCCTTGAGGGACATCGCATGTCAGTGAGTAGCTATTGGAAAGCGACCCGTTCACAGAGCATTTTTGTGTGCGGTTTTCTAGATATGACTGAAACCAATTGAAAGATTTGCCATGTATACCATAATAGTTTAGTTTCGATAGAAGAATCTGATGATCAACAGTGTCAAAAGCTTTCTTCAAATCCAGAAAAATCACTCCATTGATTTTCCCGTTATCAATATCATATGCCCAAGAATCTGTCGCTTCCAACAAAGCTGTTACAGTTGAATGATTAGCACGAAAACCTGACTGGTTTTGACATAGAATATCGTGCTCTTTCAAATAGGCATATAACTGTTCATAAACTATCCTTTCAAACGCCTTCGCCACTATTGGAATCACCGATATTGGGCGGTAATTGTTTACATCACCGCGGTCACCCT